CAACTCAAAAAAAAAAAAACGGGTAGGGGGGAGGCCAAGTGGGGGGCTGAGGGGCCTAGGGCTGGCCTGAGGCCCATGTCACTATCTCCTCTGCAGCAAACTTCGTCACAGAGTTATGTGGATGAACAGAAGCAGCTCAAGGAAAGGTGAGGCTGGGTGGGTGAACAGCCCAGTGGATGGACATTGAGACTCAGGCTGGATGGGCCACGCTTGAAATGGAGCTCTGGCACTTTCTCTGAATGTGCCTTGGTTTCCTCTTCTGTTTTTTGGGGTTTTTTTTGAAAGGGGGTTGTTATTGTTTTTGATTTGAGTCAGGGTCTCACTCTATTGCCCAGACTGGAGTGCAGTGGCTCAATCATGGCGCATCACAGCCTTGATCTCCTGGGCTCAGGTGATCCTTCTACTTCAGCCTCTGTGTAGCTGGGACTACAGGTGCGTGCTACCATGCCTGGCTCATTTTTGAATATTTTTGGTAGAGACAAGATCTTGCTACAATGCCCAGGCTGGTCTCCAACTCCTGGGCTCAAGCAGTCCTACTGTCTCAGCCTCTCAAAGTGCTGGGAATATAGACTTGAGCCACCATGCTCAGCCTTCCTCTTTCCTTATCTGTTAAATGGGGTTAATACTGTCATAGCACCGCTCCAAGCTTAAGAGGAGACCTCAGGGTTTAGTGGACGTGGATAATCTTGGGACAGCAGGTGGGGGCCGTCTTGCTTGTCCTGAGCCTTGTTTTCCCACATGGACAGCTTCCGGGCATTCGTGGAAGACAGTGAGGATGAAGACAGCTCTGGGGAGGGTGGCTCCGGGTTGCTGCAGAAACGTACCAAAACCAGGGAGGAGAAGGTATGTACTGGGGCCCAGCTGGACTGCCGAGGCTGGGGGTGGCGGGCAGCAGGGCTCCTGCAGACCCTCAATGCTGGCCTTCCCTCAGGCCCAGGAGGAGGCCGACTACATTGAGTGGCTGAAGGGACAGAAGGAGGTTCAGAACCTGGAGTCCCTGAAGGAACTGGTGAGTTCTCCCACATGGTTGCTCCATCAGCCTTATGGTTGGCGACCCTATGGCAAAGAGGCGTGCCCATCTCTGGACCTCAGTTTCTGCATCTCTAAAGTGTGGCTAGGCTAGATGCAGTGGCTCACGCCGGTAATGTCAGCACTTTGAAAGGCTGTGACATGAGCATCATGTGAGGCCAGGAGTTCGAGACCAGCCTGGGTAACATAGTGAGGCCCTGACTCTACATAAAAATAAAAAGTTAGTCAGTTGTGGTAGCAGTTAGAGGCCCAGCTAACTGGGAGGCTGAGGTGGGGAGATCACTTGAGCCCAGGAGATCGAGGCTGCAGTGAGCCATGATTGTGCCACTGCACTGCAGCTTGGGTGATATGATGATGCCCTGTCTCTATAGAAATAATAACCAGCCGGGCTCGGTGGCTCAGCCTGTAATCCCGCGCCCTTGGGAGGCTGAGGTGAGTGGATTGCCTGAGCCCGCGAGTTCGAGACCCACCTGGGCAGCAAGACCTCATCTCTACAATAAATCAAAAAATCAGCCGGGCGTGGTAGCGCATGCCTGTAATTCTGGCTACTTGGAAGGCTGAGGCGGAAGGATCGCAGGAGCCCAGCAAGTCGAGGCTGTGGTGGCCGGGAGCGGCCACTGCACTCCAGTCTGGGCGACAGAGTGAGACTCCAACTCAAAAAAAAAAAAAACCTAGGCTGGGCATGGTGACTCATGCCTGTAATCCCAGCACGTTGGGCAGCTGAGGCCAGAGGATCACTTGAGCCCAGGAGTTGGAGACCAGCCTGGGCAACATAGGAAGACTTTGTTTCTATTTTACTATTTTTTACTTATTTATTTACTTTTAAATATTTCTTAAAGAAAGGAAGAAATAATAGGCTAGACATGGTGGTATGCACCTGCAATCCCAGCTACTGGGGAGGCTGAGGTGGAAGGATCGCTGGAGCCCAGGAGGTCAAGGCTGTGAGGAGGTGACAGAGTATGTCCTCAACTAAAAAAAAAGAAAAGAAATAATACAGTAAAATAAAACAAGGATAATGTGACCTACCCCGAAGGCTGGCTGTGAAGTCCACTTGGTGCCCTCACCCACCCTCCTTCCCTCCAGTCTGTGACACAGGTCTTGTCACCTCTTCACCCCCAGGCCCATCTCAAAGAATACTGGAACAACCCAGAGCTGGATGAAGGGGAGCGATTCCTACGGGATTATATCCTCAACAAACGCTACGAGGAGGAGGGCGATGAGGAGGAAGAGGAAGAGGAAGAAGAGGAGGAAGGGTGAGCTTCCAAGTTTCCCTAGGGCCTGAATCTTGTGCTCCTGCCTAAAATATCCTCGGCAGTGCCAGGTACCAACTATTTATCTTCTTCACATGTGTTTGTGCCTCAGTTTGCTCATCTGTTAAATGGGGTTGACACTGTCATAGCACCGATGGTAGCAGAGTTAGTCTTCTGTAAGGAAGAGTGAGTTCCATAGCCAGATAGTATTGGTTCAAATCCTGGTCCTGCTGCCAGACTCCGATGCCTCAATTTTCCTATCTGTAAAATGGGGATAATGGCAGCATGCACCCTGGAGGACTCTTGTGAGGAGTGAATGAATTTGTGCATCTGGTACCCATGCATGCAGGTGCAGGGCCCAACCTCGTGTTACTGACCCCCAGCTTCGCCCTGTCTTGCCCCTCAGGATCCCCGGCCCCCCAGTCCAACTGGCCGTGGATGACTCATCGGACGAGGGCGAGCTGTTTCTGAAGAAACAGGAGGACTTTGAGCACAAGTACAACTTCCGCTTTGAGGAGCCAGACTCGGCCTCGGTGTGCGACAGGGGCTGGGGAGGACCTGGGCCCAGGGTCCAGCCCAGAGACAGTCCACATCATTTCTGCCGCCCTCTGGGCCTTTCTGCCACCCCCAGGTCAAGACTTATCCACGGAGCATTGCATCTTCCGTGCGCCGCAAGGATGAGCGCAGGAAGGAGAAGAGGGAGGAGACACGGGCACGAAAGAAGAGGGTGAGTGTAGGGGTGGCCGGGGGTCAAGGGGACACCTCCCAGCCCACCAGGAAAGCCCACACGTCCCTTTGCCCCCGCCTGCTCCCTGCAGGAGAAAGCCAAGAAGCAGGAGGAGCTCAAGCAGCTAAAGAACCTGAAGAGGAAGGAGATTCTGGCCAAGCTGGAGAAACTGCGAAAGGTCACGGGCAATGAGACACTGGGCTTTGAGGAGGGTGACCTTGAGGACGACTTTGACCCTGCCCGGCACGATCAGCTCATGCAGGTGCGGCCCCTCACTCGGCCCAGTGGGATGCTGAGATCTCGAGGATGTGGCTCAGGGCCGGGTCACTTCTTCACTGCATGGCCTCAGGGTAGAGACTCAGCCTCTCTTGAGCTTCTTTCTGTGTCTGGAAAGGGCGTCTGCCTGTAGCATCTACCTCAGTTTATTGTGAGGATAGATTGGGATTTATCCAGTTTACACATAAAAGTTGGTTGGTGGACACTCAGGGAACGTGGGTCATTGTATTTTCTTTAAACTCATTTTGAGCTGTTCATATTTATTGTTGTATTTGGGGGAATGTAGCACCAGGTCATGGAGACAGGTTCTGAGGGCGGAATGTGAGAAGCAGCTGGCACTACGGGTGCCCTAGAGAGGCCCTGACCAAGCCTGGGAAGTTGGGCTGAACGGGGCCAGGTGGAAACGAGTGAGCAGATACTATGTAGTCAGAGTTTAACCTTAAGTTTCTAGAAGCTTCTTGGTCCTGAGTTTTGGTGTCAGAATGAGGTAGCTGCTGTCTTTTGGGGTGATTGTAAGAATGCAGCGAGATGCACAAGCTAGGCATATAGTAGGTGCTTAATAAATGACACTGTTTGTAATGTCTAGCTTTGCTAGGCCCTCACTGGATGTTGGGATTCTAGCAGGGGCCTAAGACAGTCTGAGTCCTCTTAGAACTCAGAGTGGCAAGAACAAGTAACATTCTTTGAGCACCTGCTGTATGCCAAGTACCAGTGGCCTGGGCCTGTCACAGACAGCTGCGTAACTGTATGGTTACAACCTGTAGGGATCAGGGTGTCCATGGGGACACCCAGAAGAAGGTGGGATTTTTTTTTTTTTTTTTTTTTTTTAAAAGCAAGAGTCTTACACTGTCACCCAGGCTGGAATGCAGTGGGACGCTCACAGCCACTGCAAGGTTGCCCTGCTGAGCTTAGGTGATCCTTCTGCCTCTCTTCCAAGAAGCTGGAACCACAAGCATGTGCCACCACACCCGGCTAACTTTTTGATTTGTTGTAGAGACGAGATCTCACCAAGTTCCCCAGGCTGGTTTTGAACCCCTGGACTCAGGCAATCCTCTCACCTCGGCCTCCCAAAGTGCTGAGATTACATGAGGCATGAGGCACAGTGCCGGATTGGGAGGCAGGATCTTAAAGAGGAGTCTCCTTTCCTGCTTGCCCAGACCTGATGGCAAGGGGACAGGACAGGCAGCCAAGACAAGGTCCGAGGCATGAGCAGTACACCAGGCAGGGGAACTGCAGGACCAAGGCCTCTGAAAGGGAACGGAGCAGGGCCGGACCAGGAGAGCAGGGGAGGGGCTGCTGGGAGCCACAGAAGGGGACCTCGGCTTCACAGCCTCAGCTGTGTCTCGGGTGGCCCTGACCCCACAGAAGTGCTTTGGGGATGAGTACTACGGCACCACAGAGGAGGAGAAGCCGCAGTTTGAGGAAGAAGAGGGGCTCGAAGGTGAGGTCCACTGGGTACCAGGCGGGGGCGGGGCCTGAGGCCCGAGGGCCCCCCCAACTGCCCTGTGTCCCCTCTGCACGCAGAGGACTGGAACTGGGACACGTGGGATGGGCCGGAGCAGGATGGAGCCTGGAGCCAGCAGGAGCTGCACTGCGAGGATCCTGACTTCAATGTAGGTGCCTCGGCTGGGGGCGTCCCCGGGAGCCCCGGCAGAGGGCTGGCTGAATCTGACCTCTGCTTCCGGGCAGATGGATGCTGACTACAACCCCAGCCAGCCTCGGAGGAAGAGGCGTGAGGCCCCCTCGACAGGCAAGAAGAAGCGCAAGTCACCCTTCGCCGCCGCTGTAGGGCAGGAGAAGCCAGTGTTTGACCCCGGTGAGGCCCTGGCCAGGAGATGTGGGTGGGCGGGGGGGTGCCACAGAGCCCGGCACGCCTAGTAGCCTGGCCATGTCCCATGCAGGGGACAAGACTTTTGAGGAGTACCTGGACGAATACTACCGGCTGGACTATGAGGACATCGTTGATGACCTGCCCTGCCGCTTCAAGTACCGCACTGTCGTGCCCTGCGACTTTGGGCTCAGCACCGAGGAGGTAGGGCCTGGGAAGACGCGGGACACTAGGGGTCCCTGTTACTCAGAAATGCCACAGCACAGTGGTGTTTCCTCATCTCAGAAATGATAATGATGATAGCAAATGACAGCACTAATAATATCACCTACCCCAAGGGGCACTTAAAACAGAGCCTGAGGCCAGGCTCGGTGGCTCAGCCTGTCATCCCAGCACTTTGAGAGGCCGAGGCGAGTGGATTATTGCCTGAGCCCGCCGGTTCGAGACCAGCCTGGGAAACTTGGCGAGACCTCGTCTCTACAATAAATCAAAAATTAGCCGGGTGTGGTAGCACGTGTCTGTAGTCCCAGCTACTTGGAAGGCTGGGGTGGAAGGATCGCCGGAGCCCAGCAAATCGGTACTGGGGTGGCCATGAGCATGCCACTGCACTTCAGCCTGGGTGACGGAGTGAGATGCCAACTCAAAAAAAAATAAATAAATAAGTACATAAATAAATAAAATAAGACAGAACCTTGCCATGGCACACCCTCTAACTAGTACCTCTTTATTTTTATTTTTATTTATTTATATTTTTTGAGTCGGGGTCTCACTCTGTCGCCCAGACTGGAGTGCAGTGGCCGCTCCCAGCCACCGCAGCCTCGACCTGCTGGGCTCCGGCGATGCTTCTGCCTCAGCCTTCCGAGTAACCGGAATTACAGGCATGCACTACCACGCCCGGCTGATTTTTGATTTATTGTAGAGATGAGGTCTCGCTGCCCAGGTGGGTCTCGAACCCGCGGGCTCAGGCAATCCACTCACCTCAGCCTCCCAAAGGCGCGGGATTACAGGCTGAGCCACCGAGCCCGGTTTATTTTTATTTTTTGAGTTGGGGGTCTTACTCTGTCGCCCAGGCTGGAGTGCAATGACCACGATCGTGGTTCACCACAGACTCTACCTCTTGTACTCAGGCCATCCTCCTGCCTCAGCCTCAGTCCCAAGTAAATGGGACTGTAGGCATATGCTGTCATGCCTGCTGATGTTTTCATTTTTTTGTAGAGATGAGATCTCACTATGTTGCCCAGGCTGTTCTCCAACTCCTGGGTTCAGGCGACCCTCCTGCCTCAGCTTCCCAAAGTGCCAGGATTATAGGCATGAGCCTCCACACTAGCCAGTATTACTTTAAATTCTGTTATTGTCTATCACAGCAGGGTGGCTCTTAAGACAGCGGCCTCTGGCTCCAGGTGGCCCAAGTTCAAGTCCCAGCTCAGCTTCTTGCCAGCTCTGACCTTAGACAAGTGTTCTACCCACTTGTGCCTCAGTTCCCCAATATGCAAAATGGGAATGAGCATTAGTACCAGCCCCCCCTCACCTCATGGCTGTGGAGTGGAAACCAGATAAATGTGTTTGGTTTCCCAGATGGTGCCTAGCAGGTCGTGAGCACACAGTGATGATGGCCAAGGTGCCTGAGTGTTTTTTCTTTTTTTTTTGAGTTGGGAGTCTCACTCTGTCACCCAGGCTGGAGTACAGTGGCACGCTCATGACCACCCCAGAGTCGACCTGCTGGGCTCAGGTGATCCTTCTGTCTCAGGCGCACACTACCACGCCCGGCTAATTTTTGGATTTATTATAGAGATGAGGTCTTGCCAAGTTGCCCAGGTTGTTCTCAAACCCATGGGTTCAGGCGATCCCCTCACCTCAGCCTCCCAAAGTGCTGGGATTACAGGCTTGAGCCACTGTGCCCAGCCCTAAGTGTTTTTTCAGTCAGTACAAATGGCTGATGTTAGCACATACCATCCACGTTCCCTCACATAGTCCTCCTGATTGTGTCTCTGAGCCTGTTTCCCCATCTGATGACCCATGAACCCAAAAAACATTGAGTGGCTTCTGCAGAAATCAGATCTCTTAGACCACTGTGACATCCCTGAGGGGTGGTGCCAGCATCACCCTGCTGTGACCGATGAGGTGATAAAGCATCTGGACTCCTGGGGGTCCTGCAGCAGCTCTCCCTCTCCCTGCAGATCCTCGCTGCTGATGACAAGGAGCTGAACCGGTGGTGTTCCTTAAAGAAGACCTGCATGTACAGGTGATGAGCAGGTGACACTGGGGAAGGGCAACCGCACAGGCAGGGCTGCTCCCAGGCCACCCAGTGACAGTCTGCTGCTGCCTGCAGGTCGGAGCAGGAGGAGCTGCAGGACAAGAGGGCATATGGCCAGAAGGCCCAGAACGCATGGAAGAAGCAGCAGATCTTCAAGTCTCTCTGCCAGGAGGAGTAAGCACCACAGGCTGGGGGGTAGGGGCCGTGGGCTGGGAGCTGCCAGGTCCAGGATGTGCGAACTTGGGAGTGAAGCTTGAGGTGGACTCAGATCCTGGTTGTGTGACCTTAGGCAAGTCACTGCCCCCCTCTGGGCCTGTTTCTCATCTGCAAAAGAATGGAGTTGCAGGTAGTTCTACCCCTGGGTGGAAAGCAGGTAAGCTCTAGTCCATGCCCTGTAGGCATCAGCTGTTATTTCTACTGTGACTGTTATTTCCCAGTCATGGGCCAAGGTGACAGAAGTCCAGAGTTGATTTAAAGCTAAGTGAGGCTGGGTGCAGTGGCTCACACCTATATAATCCTAGCACTTTGGGAGGCTAAGGCAGAAGGATTGCTTGAGGTCAGGAGTTCGAGGCTGCAGTGAGCTATGATCGTTCTACTGCACCCCGCTGCGCTCCAGCTATGATCGCTCCACTGCACTTCAGAGCAAACTTGTTTCTCTCTCAAAAAAAAAAAAAAAAGCTACAATGAGTTCATTTATATGAATAGCTTAGTGTAGGACCAGGCACAAATACCAGAATTCACAGCCTCCACTCCAGCCTCGGGGTACAGTGGGAAATCCTGGCTTTGGTATTAGAACTAGGCTTGCATCCCAGGGCCTGAGTGGCTGTGCTACCACCTCACGTTGCCTGCCTTTCCGTCTCTGTAAAATGCGACACTTGTGCCCAGGAATTAGCCTAGTCATAACCGGCCTGGGCTGAGAGCCCTGACTTCTCCCTTAGGACAGAGATGCCCACGGAAGCCACTGGGAAGCCACACAGAGACCAGGCCCAGCCACAGGGGCAGCTGCTGGCATCTGATGGGGCCAGTGGACAGCAGCCCTGGCCCGAGAGCCGACCAGCACAGGAAGAGGAAGCCCCCACGCAGAAGCGGAGGAGGAAGAAGGCACGGCTGCTGGGCCACACGGTGACACTTGGCGGACGTGAGTTCAGCCACCAGAGACTGCAAGCCTTCGGCCTCAACCCTAAACGGCTGCATTTCCGGCATCTGGGCCGGCAGCAGAGGAAGCAGAGGGCATCCAAGAGCAGCTCCTGAGTCAGGGCAGGTAGGGCCCAGGACATGTCCCCCACAGATGTCTGCCACATAGACCTCCTGCCTCCCTGCGAGCTGTAGGTCTCCCATCCTACAGATGGTGAGACTGAGGCCGACTTAACTTCCCAAGTGACTTGGAAATCTCTCCTTGAAACAGTTCCTGGACCCCACATTCCCACAGAATGCTGTTCACAGCCATAACCACAGTCAAGACAGCTTTATTCACCTCCAGTGGCCACAGTACTCCCAGGACAGGGGTTTGGGGACCAAGGAGGGGCCCAGGCGATCCAGTGCAAACTACAGTACTTGAGTCAGGCCCTGAGTGAGTGCGTGGGGGTCCTCCCTGCCTGCCCCTGAGTGGCGGCAGACCAGGGTGTCTGAGACAGGTTACAGCTGGGCTTGCTGAGGGGGAGACAGGAAATCCCATCACTGCTGAATTCAAGCTCCCACACCAGACACGACATAAATAAAAAAATAAATAGTGATCTTTCTCCCATCCCCTCCTTTTATAAAAACACAAAGTCTTCGGAGCTGGGGCGCTTGGCCTTGAGGAGTCGGCCCGATCCAGGGAGCCGCAACGTTGGCTGGGACAGCTGGGAGCACAGGTCCTCCAGGCCATGGTCCTGAGCGTGGCCCTCGGCCAGGGTGAACATGGGGTACCGCTCTGTGGCTGAGGAGGAGCTGAAGACCTGCGGGAGGCGGGGGAGTGTGGATTCCCCGGCTGGGCACATGCAGCAGGCGCTTCCGTGGATTCACCTCCCCGCACGCCCGCGCACGGAGCACCGTCGAGCACGTGACCCAACCCAGCCAATGAGACTTGTGCAGCTGCGGCAGACATGGAATTCCCCTTCCAATGAACGGCAGGGTGGATGTCCAGAGGTGCTGGCAGCCTGTCTTGCCACCTCAAGCGTAATGAGCCGGGAGAGGGCAGCAGAGCCTGGAGACAGGCAGGGGCGCCACCCCCTGAGCCCCTGGAGGCACCGTCCCCAAGACCCCAGTGCCTGAAGCTAAGAGTCCCTCCTCTTTTTTTTTTTTTTTTTTTTGAGTCGGAGTCTCACTCTGCCGCCCAGACTGGAGTGCAGTGGCCGCTCCCGGCCACCGCAGCCTCGACCTGCTGGGCTCCGGCGATCCTTCCGCCTCCGCCTTCTGAGTAGCTGGAACTACAGGCATGCGCTACCACGCCCGGCTGATTTTTTGGTTTATTGGAGAGATGAGGTCTCGCTGCCCAGGCGGGTCTCGAACCCGCGGGCTCTCCTCTTTTTTTAAAATTGGAGTCTCCCTCTGTCGTCCAGTGGCACGCTCACGGCCACTGCAGTCTCGACCTGCTGGGCTCCGGCGATTCTTCCGCTGGAACTACGGGCGCAGGCTACCACGCCTGGCTAATTTTTTGATTTATTGTAGTGATGAGGTCTCGCCGAGTTGCCCGGGTGGGTCTCAAACCCGTGGGCTCAGGCAATCCTCTCACCTCTGCCTCCCAAAGTGCTGGGATTATAGGCATGAGCCACCGCACCCGGCCGCAAGCCCCTTTCTGCTCCAATCAGTAGGGGCTTTGGCAGCTCAGGGGCAGGATGACCTTGAACTGAGCACGGGGTATCTTCACCTCCCTTCCCCCGGGGTCTGCTGGACGCGAGGATTTTCCCCTCCCCCCATACCCTTCTTGCTTACCCTGGTCAGCTCCGAACAGAGGGTCTCAAACTCCTTCCTGTCTCCAGCGTAGAACCCCACGGTACAGCTCGGGTCCATCTTGGCAAAGGCCATCTTGCGGGGTGAGGTGCAGTGGAAGGACTGGGTGGACACGAGAGACTCAGAGGCCTAGCCCCACCCCCCACCCCATGCCC